TAACGTTGAAAAACTCACGCAAACTGACTGGATAAGAAACATGTGCCCGTTTGGATCTCAGTATGCTTGATCCTATGCAAGGGCGATCGGCAGAGGCAGCTTGTTAGCAAACATCGGGAGTTGTGAAAGAGGCTAAGGGAAACATACGTGTTGTGTCTAGACGCCTTGGATTTCTGAATGCTTACGCAGAAGTGTATTAACTCTATATCGTCTTTATTTATACGAAGCTAACAAAATCGTTTTGCTATGACTCAATCAACCAATAAAGAGAACATATAGAGACAAAAACGTAAGTGAAGTGTAGAATGTCACTTTTCCGATTTTACGTCGGCTATTTATGAGAAATGCCGACTTTCCCACCTTACGTCGTGTATTTAGGGTATATTTATCGACAATTATACGTAACGTACATATTCGAAAATGCCGCCTCCTGTTCTTATGTTTTCACAAACGTGGACAGAATATCGCACCGCCTAATAAAGAAACGAAAATATTGTTATAAACACAATTAACAAAATACGCACACAGGTATATGGCTTAGACGCATATACAATGACGTTGTTTTTTGCTTAGCTAAAGTGTTCCGACATCCTCGGTAGCCAACACAAATAACTAACGCGATATAAGTGAGAGACGTGCTCTCCATTTTTCATGTTCATTATAACTAATAACCATGTTAGTCCTAGAACATGAGTTCAATTAAAGTCACTGAGAGAGCTCGTAAACGTATGGCAACTATTAACTTGTTAAGACTTCTTGGATGTCATAGATCGACTTATAGCAGCAGTGGGAATTGAATACGAACAGCGCTCATGAAAAAACATAACTTGCTCTCGTTTAGTGAGTTTGCTAATAAAAACATGTTCAAGGTAATTGACTTTAAAAGTGTATGTTTAATTGAGAGCAGTTAAGAGAGAAATTGATCGTAATGAGAATTTAGGCGAAAAGTAGACAATTTGGTGACATTCGAGAGACGGAGCTACAAAAAGGGGGAAATTCGTATTATAGCCCTCGGACAGGCGAAAAAGTAGACATTTTGGCACGTTTCCCCTTTTTTCGCCTTTATTCCCCTTCTATTGATTGATTGGGAAGCTTGATGTTTGAACAAACACCTGAAAACGTTGATCAGATAATGATTCGGCATGATTGAACGATACCTATCTCTGGATGTGTCGCGCAGAAATGTTTATTAACTTGTTTCCATCTTTTCAATACCTAGTTTCAGGGTTTTGGAAGATAACTGGTGCCGAAGATCAGTGCTTTATTTTTAAATCTGGGTGAGTTTCAGTAAATCGATCCCTTGGAAACTGTTTAAGGACGTTCTACGAGACGAAGTGCCTGGAACAGCATTGTTCATTCAAGAAATGTATATCCGAAGCAAATTGCAAAATGTAGTCTGATTATCGAGACTCTCGAAATGAGCTTAACGAGAAGTTAAGAGCTTCGTCGATGACGAAAAAAGTGAATTTTTGTACTTCCACAGAGAGTCATAAGTGCCGTCCAGCACAAGGCATGGCTAGAAATTCCCTACCGAAAGCGTTATGCCCCGAAAATGTATTTAGCAACCGTCTCGATAAATCTGCCAAAGGTTGTCGATTATAGTTAGCACATCGTTGTAAGACTCCTCCGATTTCCGAGTCCTATGTTTTTACTGCGATACTATTGCGTGCTTAGGTGTTTTGGTCTGTAAGAAATGTTGCTTTGACAGTCAGTTCCTTATTTATCAAGAATTCATTTTCTCGATATCGTCCTAGCTAACAGATTTCGTATTTCCACGAAATTGGTTTGTTAAAGGTTTCATAGGAGACGCTCAGTTTAGTATGAGCAGTCTATAGAAACTTACTAGGCCGTTAAACGTGCGTAGTTGCTTGTTTTTGGTCGGTTAATCAGAATATATTTCTGCATGAGCATGTACGCGCAATTTTTACAGACACGGTCTATAAATTACAACATTTTTGGCTCACAATATGCTTCCAAAATTTTCAAGTTTATAGTTGTTATAAAGTAAACTAGTAGAGCGCTTCTGAGTAATCCAAGATATTCGCTAACTTGCTTTTCAGTGGTCGGATGTTTAGAGCATCAGTAGTATGTCCGAGAAAATCTAGAAAGTCAGTTCTGGTTTGGCATTTCTGAATGTTTAAAGTCATGCCGTGCTTTTATAGTTGTTCGAAGACATGGTTCAGGTGATGTAGATGAGATTCTCTGTGTGAATTTGTAACCAAGCAATTATCAAAATATACATGTAGGAGGTTGAGACCTCAAAATTCATCATGGATGAATCTCTGAAAAGTTTGTGCAGCATTTCTTGAGCCGAATGACATGCAAAATATTCGTACAGACCAAACTGGGTGATGATATCCGTTTCAGGAATGTCGTCATCAGCCGTGGGAATTCGGTTATACATTCAATGAAATCGATTTCCGAAAAAAACTATTGTAACATTTAAGGTAGTTGTCAAATCGTGAGTGTGAAGTAACGGGTAACGATCAGGAATGGTTTAAGCAATTTGGCACTAATATTCTCCAGTCAGACGTCAGGCGATAAAAACCTTTCTATGGGCTATGCGCAACGGAGATGCCCATGGATTGTTTGATGGCCGAATGATTGCTTAGGCTGTCATGTGGTTTAATTCGTTTTTGGCCTCGACTTTTTGGGAGCTAGTCAGTGCACTTTCGAGAATACAGGTATTTCAGTAGTCGTGATGTGATATGTAACATTGTTGGTTACGCATGACGATTTCGGAATCGGTTGGTATATCTCGAGGTACTTATCGGGTAATTGATAGTCGTATGGATCGTTCGTGTGACTTACTGTGACTGGGGGTGAATATGTAGTGGCATTGGGCCCTAATCACACAATCCTCAAATCTGAACGGGAGACACTTGAGAAAATATATGTTCAACATTTAACGCAGAGAAAAACCGAAGGATGAGAAAAGCGGGAACAATGAATTGAATAAATTGGAGTTGATCGTGTGGAATGGCATGGTCATGCAGGCGTAGTCCCTGCTAAATGTTACCTTACATCTTTTATTCATATTAAATATATTGTCCCATCTCTAGCCTAAGATTGTTCTCTATCATGTATTGGTAATTGTTACGATGCAGTGAGTTGGTGTAGATGATGATGTGACTTCCATGTAAGATCTTATAAGTTAGGCAGTTACATCATAACAAATCTGCAATTTTAGGATTAGGTCCATCATTAGAGCATTGCTAATATCATAGTAGACCATAATTCTACGAATCTGCTACCCGAAGAATTTACATATACATACAATTCAGCATTTCCATCAACTAACCCCGATTTTCCTGTGTCGATTATGATGTTGTGGCAGGTCTATACCAATGATTATCATTGAAAAATCTGAAACTACGGAGGCTCGGTGTGAATGGGTTTGCATAAATCCACGTTAAATTAAACATATCGCTTGCCATATGTGGCAGTCGGTTTCTCATTTGCCATCTGTAAGTTGAAAACTGTTTTGCGCATTCGGCCGTTAGAATTCGCGAACTTTCGTATTCACATCAGTGATTTAGAATTTTACAAGGCTTTGAAACATCACTAGTGAAAATACTAAGTGTGGCGTACCTGACGAATTCGTTCTGGTAATGCCTTCATTACTGAGAGGAATGGTGAGAATATATAGGTCACGCCATACTCGTGAAAATCCAGTTGTTGTTGTCCAGTCAGAATGGCATTAGCCGAAATGAGAACATACTTATATACTTATATGTGCATATTTTTTTCAAAAAACAACGAAACATTCATCCCGCAAAAATCGCTGTCATGATGTTGCATGTTTGCAAAACGCATGCATATGATTTTCTTATCTTTTTTCTCACGTATTGTGTTTTTGCGCGTGTGAGAGTGTAATTTGGCATGCACTAGTATATTTTTTTTCTTTTTCAGGACAGCTGAAGAAAATGAAAAGCCGATGAAGTTTGCGATGAATCGAAATTTTTATGTACCCAATTTCTATTACTATATTGTAACACATAGCCCCTTATTGTAAGGAAAGATGTCCGAACGCTGCTGAACATAGCAAGTTATCACAAGAATGTCTACAAACGACAAACTTGTTGGGTTTAAACTTCTGGTCGGCTACTGCTTAGGGTCATCATTACTCCGTTAATTGAAAGTTTCTTCTACTCCGTCAACGACCATTTGAGCCATTTGAAAAACTCTATTCATCCTTAGCACTCTACGTCTATCAGCTATGGACACAAAGCTGTGGCACATCCCAACTAGTCAAACGAACAAAGAAAACAAAGTGAAAGTTATGGCTTGGAGTGGAATATAAAGTGAAAATTCTGCTTTTATATGCAGGACTCGCTCACTAAATGAGTGGAAAAGTCATGAAAATGTTCCGTACGGCAAACGTGATGGACGTTGGAACACGCATGAGCTACGATTTAGCATGAACGTATAGGTTGTTGACCATAAGGTCTAGTTACGACAAAACAGATCGCGTGAGAACGATGTGTATAGAGATACAAAATATTCGGAGTTTGACAACAACTAAATAAGTAGTAACATTTTCAATCGGAACGTGATGGCTCAGTAAAATTCGAGGTCAGAAGCAAAGAGGTTCGAAGATATATCTGATAAAATATAGGTATATCAAGAAGTGACTAGTCTAAGCTGGCTAGCAGTATTAGGGGAAAAGTAACATGGAGTACTCACTCATGATCTGGTGCGGACGTATGATCGAGCGCCTTCAGATGAGTGAGCCCATTAAAACTAATGCAGTCGTATCAGATTTTGAGGACTTGAGCATTTATTTACCGCTACAAGTATGACTTCAGTCTACGTACTCTATCTCACTTTTCTGAAAAGCCAGCGCAGATTTGGATTCTTGCCTAACACGTGTTATATTCATTTTAATTCTATTAGAATCGAGGAGATTACTCTGAGTTCCATTATTCCCATCTGACGGGATATAAAGTCTATAACCTTTTGAATCTAATCATCTGTTTTACGAAAGTAAATAACTGCGTCAGACCTTGAGGTTAACTGCTTGTCGAAAAGAGTCAATTTGAATTTAACTTGTGTGGTGGGTTGATTCACCTGGTCCTAGTTTTGATTCTAGATTTGTTTTAATATGAGGCTTGTGCTATTTCCAGTTGTTGTCCATTTCTCTTCCTTCTAAGATACAAGTGCATTGTGTGCGCTTTCTGGGTCATCGACCCACCACTTATGTTTTTGTCTCCAGCTTTTACTCGACTCTGCATGCTCCTTTTGTACACTATGTGCATTCTGGCTAGACATGAACTAATACACTAGACCCTATTAGTGTTTCTAGTCACAAGTTACTCTTATTACCTGGCGTAAGTGCATTTTTCAAAACAACGTTGCATTAGACACAGGCTTAACTTCTTTCAAATTTGTGTTTTCTATTCTAGTTCGATACGCTTGAATAGTTCATGGCTTTATCTTACTGGTTGAAGTGTACTATGTTGATGACCTAGGGCGACTTATCATCTTATTAGGAAACGCTACCTAATTATATAACAATTGACAATGTCAATTTTTAAAATATATTTTTAGTGTTATAACAGTAGAATAGCTGCCTTGATCTGAATAATTAACTGTCACGTGTTAAATTACCCGTTATAGTAAAAGAAATAAGTCAGGTTTACTCGGACTAGCGCTGTGGTTTTATTTGACCACTCTATATGTTTGTTTGGGTGTTATGAATCAAGTTAATGAAGCTAAGTTCACCTTTTATGGTTCAGTTACGCACGTTATACTTGTGGTAATCTGCTTGTCAATATTATTACCAGCCGCATACAATCTAAGTTTAGAAATTCGTGTTCCAGCTAGTCCTGTTAGAAAAAAGGCGGTATGAATGGCATACACAAGTCAAGCTCATACAGCATAAATAATTAGATCGTATATGACAAAGTATATAGACAGGTCATAAGATACCTAACTTGAGTAGAATAACACATTTGATGGTCGAAAAAATTAAGGCTTAATGTGGTGGTACAGTACTGCCTGAAAAAGCACCTAGTTGTACTACTTTATCGGGGTAGAATCATTGCCTGCCAATGGCCACTGCTTGGGGTAATAGTTTGATTCTGATCAGAATCTCTTTGGTTACAGTAAGAAGCTGTAAATGGGTATGTCGGATAACACTTTAAATAATAACAATTAACGTAAATGGATTATCATGCTCGGATAATTATCTTGTAGGTAAATTTCTCGTAATACTTAATTTTGTATTAATAAAGACGTTAGATATATTTAACTAATTGCACTTCTAGATAAGTATCAGTGATTAAACATATTCTGGTCGTTCAGACATTTTTATTGGTACATCAGATCATTATTACTACTATTATGTGTAAGTGAAAGTAAAGTATGATTAGTCGTTAGGCGTGAACAAACAGCCACAGCGTACGGCTTAATAATATGTAATTTTTCTTATTATCGCTTTTTACTCTGAAATGTATCTTCCCCCTGTAGCTCTTCTAGGATTACCGTTAATCTCCAGCCTAGTTAAAGGAGGGTTGAAAAACCCCACCCAGTAGAAAACAACCTTGCTAAAAAACTCAAATCAGAGTAAACAAATTAAACCATTTGAACTGTGCCCTAGAACTTGAAGGATCTTCATTCAGAAGAATTATGACATCTCATGGTGAAAGCCGATATTGTTCGGAAGTCACTAGACCATTGTCCCTTCTAACAACCAGCACAACGATTAATATATGTACATGGAGTGTTCGAATAATGTGGGAGACTGAAAAGACTAGTCAAATAGTTACGGAAATGAGGCGATACGATTTGGTGGTGCTCGGAACAAGTCAATCCCATTGGATTCAAGCTGGGCAGAGAAGGGCAGATTCGGGAGACATGTTGGTGCATTGTGGTCACGAAGATTTATTTATTTATTTGTTTATTTATTTTAACACATAGGTATTGGTACAGTTAGGCACCAAATACATATGCGCCACACAAATCTCATTTAATTTGTGTGAGGGCCGGTGACCGACGATTGGTTTATATGTCATTTGTTCCCGCAGGATACTGGAGCCCATGTGCACCATTGGTTTGGGATCGGGTTAAAGCGCCGGATATTCGCTTTTCGTCCTCTCATTTCCGTAAACAACAGTAATGCCACAAAAATGCAGTGAGTAGGACTTCCGTGACAGAGGCTATATACGCGTGGCCATGTGAGAGCATTTCGAGAGAGAGCGGACTCTCCCCCCTCTCGGTCGTACCAGGGCATTTGGGTCAAGAAGAAGAAAATGTTTCACACCGTCACGGAGTCTCTCTAATGCTGTCCAAAGAAGTACGAACTGCACTTATGAGATGAGAATCTCACGGATCCAGGATCATAAAAACATCTTTCAAAAGAAAAAAGAAGGGGATCACAGTGAATATTATCTAATGGTGTGCACTGATCAATGATAGCAACGATGACAATAAATATCAGTTTTACAATCGATCGTACCGAAGTGCTCAGGAAGTGACTCGAAACATCCTAATGGGAGACTTAAACGCCAAAGTCAGAATCATCGATACTGGTTATGAATATATCATGGGACAATAATGACTGGAAGAAAGGAACGAAAATGATGAGAAATAAGCAAGTTTATGTGCATTCAGCAAAGTGGTTATATGTGGCAGTATATTGCCTCATAAACTCATACACAAAGCTACATGGGTGTCATGGGATTTTTAACGAATCCAAAACCTATTTTCGGTTATGACTATTCATAATTATATACCATTGACCAATATATAATTAGGATAATAAACGTTAACTGTGTTTAAAAGCATGTCAGTCAGTTGTTGCGTTTGGTAACAGTATAATGCAGGCTGTAAATCTTTTGATAAATTATTTCCTTATTCAACAAAATGAAAATGTGTAGCACAATATTTCCCCACAAACGCACACACAAAGCCACATGGGGCTCACTGGATCATACTACACATAACCAAATCGATCATATTTGCATCAGTAAAGAATTCACAAGATCAGTGGAAGACATGAGAAGCAGGAGAGGAGATGAGATAACTTCAGATCACCACCTGGTGGTTGCCTAGAAGAAGGTGAAGCTAAATAGGCATTGGACAACTGGACAAACAGCAGTACAAAGGTTCAATACAGCCTTCCTTTGACATACTGACAAACTCAACGAATTCAAGATATCTCTCTACAACAGGTTACAAACCTTACAAGACATACTGGAAGATGACACTACTATGAAGGACAATTGGAAAGGGACCAAAGAAGCACTAACTTCAACGGGTCAGGAGGTACTGGGCCTCAATAAGCATCATCATAAAGAATGGATCTCTGTAGTAACCCTTGACAGGATTCAAGAAAGAAGACAACAATTAACAACAGCCGAACAAAAACCATCAAGGCACAAGCTGAATATATAAAAGCAAACAATCAAGGAAATAAGAGCATTAGCGTTGACGAACAGACAGCGAAAAAAACGGCAAGAGAAGAAAATATGAATCAGCTATATGATAGGACGAGGAAACTGGCAGGGAAATATAGTGAACCAAAGAGATCAATCAAGGACAAAATGGGCAAGCCAGTCACTGAAATTTAGGATCAGATGAACAGATGGTTGGAACACTTCGAGGAACTCTTAAATAAACCAGCCCCATTGAATCCACCGGAAGTTGAAGCAGCACACAGACCTTCCTATAGATGCCACTCAACCAACGATGGAAGAAATCAGGATAGTCGACCATCAGACACATCTAGAGTGGAAAAGTAGCAGGACCTGACAATATACCAGCCATAGCACTTAAGTCAGACATAGAAGTAACTGCAAACATTCTCCCCACTGTATTCAGGAAGATTTTGGAGGAAGAACAAGTGCCGACAGACTAAAATGAAGGATAACTCATCATGATACTAGAGAAAGGAGATCAGAGCAAATGTGAGAACTACAGAGGCATCACACTACTATCGGTACCAGAAAAAGTTTTCAACAGAGTGTCGCTGAACCGAATGAAAGATTCAGTAGACGTCCAGCTTCGAGATCAACGGTCCGGATTCCGTAGGATTAGTCGTGCACAGACCGAATAGTGACGGTATGGATTATTATTGAGCAATTGATTGAATGGAGTTCGTCACTATATCAACTTCATTGACTATGAGAAAGTGCTTGACAATGTGGATAAGCGAGCCTTATGGAACCTTCGGCACTATGAAGTAAGCAGCTAAGGTCGTCAAGAACATCCGGAATTCATACGATGGACTACGCTGCAAAGTGGCGCATGATGAACAGCTGACAGATGCATTCCAAGTGAGGATCGGAGTCAGGATCTTCAATACAAACGTCGAGACAGTTCTTTTGGAGAACTATCACAAAAATCAAAACAATGAAAGCTTTTTTAAACAATTGTCTACGTAAGAAACTCGAAATTCGTCGACCGTACACCATCAGGAACAACCTACTTTGGGAGAGAACAAACCAACTTCCAGCTGAAAAGGAAATTAGGAAAAGACTCTGAAAGTGGAAAGGACAAACATTGAGGAAATTACCAAACTGCATCACGAGGCAAGCACTAACTTGGAATCCTTAAGGGTAACAGAAAAGAGGAAGACCAAGCAACTCACTGGTCGAGAATTGGAAGCAGATATGAAAATTAAAGAATTTGAAAGGATTGTTCAGGATAGATTTGACTGGAGAATGTTAGTGTGCGGCCTATGCTCTTTCACGTAAGGTAACAGGTGTGTTTAAGTACTCATTGTGAGTGACTGCTTGTAATTGTATTAAATAAAGTATTGTCTAATGTCAATCTGGCTCTCCATTTTGGTTCGCGAATTTTATTTTTGATATAACGTGATTGGTCTTTGTTATAATTCTCTCTCTTACGGTTATAACCCAGCTATTCCTATTGCTTAGTATTCACGGACACAGATTTACTCGACAAGGCCCAAAATCAGAACACGGTTGAGCAGGAAGGATATTATATTCCAAATAACAAGGTTAGATGGAAGCAAGAAGCACAAAAGGAAAACCGTTAGTATATTTATAGTGTTTACATAAGAAGAATCTAGAGTCTTCTCCATGTATCGACTAGCGCTGATTGGATAAGAATCAGCCAATCAGCGTGCGCCAAAGCAATCGTGCATTGAGCATGTTTAAATCCGATCTATGTCCCACTAACAGTCTTATTAATGTATTATCGTAACATATGTGTGAAGAAAAAAATATTTTAAACCATCCGTTATATCATATTATTATTATTATTATTATTATTATTATTATTATTGTTATTATTATCATTATCATTATTATTATTATTATCATTATTATTATTATTATTATTATTATTATTATTATTATCATTATTATTATTATTATTATTATCATTATTATTATTATTATTATTGTTATTATTATTATTATTGTTATTATTATTATTATTATTGTTATTATTATTATTGTTATTGTTATTATTATTATTATTAATTATTATTATTACTGGATCTTTTTAACCTTTCATTGAATATTTCACCCAGTGAGAATATTATTATTAGTTCACATTGTGGTAGTATGGAGCATAGTCGATGCGTGCACTTAGAAATGTACAATGATTATTTGCTTTCTCCTAGTGTTACGCTTTTTTTTCAAAGATATTGATAAACATAGCTAGAAAACCACTTAATCACTGTGTTTTCTTTTTCAATTTGCTTATTGTATTGGTTTGATTTAATTAAAATGAAGTTTTTTTAAATATAGTACTTCTTAAAATAACTCTGTCATTACTGAAACAACTAGTTTATTGATTATTTGATTACTCAGGTTCCATTTCTGTTGATATTTCGTAATATCAGTGAAAACAGATGGGAAAATATTTTACTAAAACTAAACGTGGTGGATTGATTTCTTATAAGAAATCTAAAGCAAAGGAGTTAGTTAATAACGCCAACAATATATCTTGTTTAATAAAGGACCTTCATATATCACTAGAAATTCCTGACTATGTAAATGTAAATGATGTTATCACTATTGAATGTATAAAGGCATCTAATGCTGATGTAGCAGTTATTGATGAATTAATGCAACTACTTCAAGAAAATATGCAAGTAACTATTGTTTTTTTTTGAAGTAAACAATTTGTTTAGAGTTTGTATATTTCATCGTCTTGGGGTTGGAATGCAGAAGCTAAACGAGCTGAAGCATTTTCATCAAAATCTTGGTTAATTATTTGTCGTTGTCAAACTTCTGAAATTCAGTCCATAGTTGGATTTGTTAGTTTTCGGTTTGAATGTGAAGAAGAACATCCTGTGTTATATTGTTATGAAATCCAATTATACCCACAGTTTCGTCATTTACATGTTGGGACATTTTTAATGAATATATTATTGTCTATTTCATTAGCATTGAATATGCATCGCGTTATGTTGACAGTGTTCAAGTCGAATAAAAGTGCCATTAATTTTTTTGGGAAACTAGGATTTGAAACCGACCAAACCGATCCTTCAATGTTCAAAGGAATTGAAACAGTCGACTATAGGATTCTGTCCAGATTAACTGTTAGAAAAATTTGAATACTGGAAGTTAAGCTGCTAGTTATCTACAGATTTGAACTATAAATCTTTAAAAAATTATTTCGTATATATTTTTTATTGCTCAGTTTAAAATACAATCATAAACTTTTGTTACATTTTCGTTCTATATCAAATGTTAAGGTTTCTTTGATTTCGTACACATATTGGAACCAACTTTTTACATTGATCCGCTAGCTTATATGTTTCCCATTTTGGAAAGATAGAAAACACTGACACATTTTGGTCCTATAAATGAACAACGAAATCCTGAGTAATTCTGTCACAATATTTTCTTCATTTTCAATTAATCCACTCACCAGTTACTTGAGCATGAGTCACAATCTAAGTATGTGGGCTAGTGATTATATCAGTCAGTCAATCAGCTACAACATAGGACCAGGCACATGTATGCATTGGTCCAAGTTGCCATACCTCATTAGCATAACAACATTAATACCGAATTCATATAAGTATTTAATTCAGTGGTGGCAATATATAAAGGAAAGATTGTGTATAAAGATATAGTACAGGGAAGAAAGAATTGGTTGGTAGAAAAAAAAGGCACAAAGTAATTCTAATCTTACGGTTTAAGGGAAGACAAAGACTGTATACACCTACACTATTATGATCGATTCTGAGCCATGTCACCCAGAGTCTCCAACCACTGGTTACAATAGTCACGCGGACCCCAACCAAGTAGTCTGCATATACCAACATGGCTCAGACTAGAAGTTGGTGACTTCAAGCACTGATATCCACAAAATTTAGTTTTGTGATGTATAATATTGCTTAGTTTTAGTAAACACCAATAGACGAAAGCACTCGTGAAGTGATCTTTACTAAAACGTTAATGCATAAGAAATATTCCTTTCAATATGTTCTCATTAGATTTTACTGTTACGCATCGAAAGTGATACTCCAAAAGAATGTTCAAGTTTAGGGAAAATATATCTTTTGAAATTGTAGCTTATAAATTAACGATTAGTATCGTAAAGGGTTTTGTGGATAGTATAGTAATTTTAATAGTTGAAATCATAAGCCAATTGAAGCTAGACCACTATGGAAAACCTGGAAGCAGTGGGTGGCTGTTTCATCCTATTATGGGACTCCTTAGCAGTGCGCATCCACAATCCCACCTTGCGAGATTCTAACCCAGGTCCTATCAGTCTCGCGTGCGAAGGCTTAACCTCTAATGCCGTCTCAGTGATCTGGAGATTAGGCGTTCGTGTGTGACACTGATAGATCCTGGATTTGAATCCCGCGAGGTGGGATCGTGGATGTGAACTGCTGAGGAGTCCCACAGTAGGACGAGATGGCAATCCAGTGCTTCCATGGTGGTCTAACTTCAATTGGCTCATGATTTGATCCACTAGGATTTACGATTGTTTGTAAAATTAAGTTTTTGATATTAAAGTAACTAGGATTCAGTGTTAATTTCATTAGGTTCATATATTAAATGAAATTATGAGATTATTAACCACAATAAATGTATACAATAATGTATTTACAAATCAGATTAGTTATTTGTTCGAGATCTACATAATATATGAAATGATATAAGTCATAGTTTATGAGTGCCATCTAAATTCTTCATATAGTTAGAATATTTACAATGATATTGATAGATAATACAAAGGTGTGTGAATAATGATAATTTTTAAGATCACAAACTGATCTAAGTTATGCAACCGTTCAGTGTTTGTTTAACATAGATCTATTCGTGATCTTAATAACATGTAACAATCTTCCCGAAACCCCCATACTCATAATATTTGAATAAAATAAACTTAAAGATGAAAATGGATAATATGTATATTCTCTTAAGGCAATTTATTGAAACTGGGATTAACTGAGCTAGAAAAATTGGTTGAATATATTATTTCAAGCACGTTGATAGCAAATCTAAACTAGAAGTAAAGCAGGATAGTTGGAAACAATGCCGAAAGCAATGGGTAACTGAAAATACGAAGAAATGTCAAAAGAAACGAATGATGTCAGAGAAATTAAAGTATGTAAGAACAGTTAAACATGAATGTATCGATGCTACAGTAACCTTTTTTAAACCATAAGACCTAAAATGATCAACTGTTGGTCGAAATTATTACATAAGACAGATTGAGTCTATCGGCAAACTGGAATGAATCTCTTAACGTGTATGTTGCTAATCTCCGACGAACCGGTTCTAGTTTTACTGCTAACCAGCGTGCAACTTTATGATACAGGGAATTGATAGGATAGGTCTAAGGTGAACGTCATGTTTGTGAACTTTTGGTAAACCATACATATGAGGTAAACGTGAACCACGTGGTCTTAGATAGTTGTAAGTAGAATTATCAAACATTTTGTTTTTTAGAAGTTCTCAGAGCATTCCTGTGATTCGTTTTTCTGTTGAATCAGTCAAATCTTTTTGGATTTATCTACCTTATTAATCTTTCCTTGCCTTGGTGACTAATATTCCTTTGCTGTATCTTAATATTTTTTCTTCTTTGGACTCTTGTATTTATCACATCATTGAGTTTTATTCCAACTATCTTCCAAATTAATAATCTTATTTTATCAACTGAACTCTACTCATTTTATTCCTATCAATGTTTACTTGTTTCTAGCCTTTTGAACTGTTGTCACAATGTTCTTTCATCACATAAGGTATATATATTTACAATATTCAGTCTGTGAAATTTATTTACACCCTTGCTATACTATACGAATATGTCTTCAATATAACTTCTAACCAAACTCTTTCATGTAAGCAATTTAAACCCATTATGTAATTATGATTTGTAAATATCACAGGTTGTAAGAAGCTGACTAAAACCTGCGAAATAAAATGAATTCATGATATTCCGCTAGAATCTTTGTTCTTGCTCTTTTTGAAATGATAAGGGGAACTATGTGTATGAAAAGATATGAAAAATGCTCGAGTACCATGGCATTGAAGAAGACAGCTCGTTATGTTAAACTGGAGTAATTATTCACAAGCTTTTAGTACAGCACAGTTTTGAGTGAAAAGTTATCAGCTAAGTGTTGTACGCGCTTTGAACTACATTCAGTAAGGAAATCGAGAAAGAAATTTCATGTACAAATAATTTACTCGGATTTTAAAGTTTGGCTGGTAACTCATAATTCCTCTGGAAGTGAAAACCACAGAAATGATGGAACTATAACCTGTTTCTCTAGACTTTTTTGTTACTGATACTACTACTACTCGTACTACTTTAGTATTCATCTTACTGTGTTAACATCGTTTGCAAGAGTGGATTAAAAGAACTTTAAGGACAGACATTTCGAAACCTGATATTAGCCCACGAAGTCACTATTGAGCTGAGCTTTGTAAGTAGGTGCAGAATATGTAGGTGGAACCAGTGCGATTATCATGACTAATAGTTAGAAATTGGGTTGCATAACGCAGAATCGGTCTCATTGGTTTCAAACGCATTCACTGGTTGTCTTAGAATACTCATAGTTTCTACTTCATAAATTCACTCTTTTTAGAACTGTTTTGCATATACCTAATCTTTTCTACAACTACTGATTCTGTTACTACTTCTAACACTGGTATTTGTCTTGATAGTTTCATCTAGCTAAGCTCACGACTGAATGGCTTTCCCAAAATTGTAAATTCAACAATCTGTTCATGTTTCAAAGACTAATAGTAAACAACAACAGTTTATTCAATTTACAAACAGAAGAGCTTTATAAATAATTTCGAATTTGTAATATTACACTGGTCCATCATGAATACGTAGGTCCTATTGGTTTGTATGTTTATTCTGGTCTCCTGGATCTTAAGCCTTTTGATGGATTTTTAATCCAAATTCCACATGTGCTTAAAATAATCAGTAAAATGTATTCATATCATTAATGTCAATTCAGAATTTACAAAAAAAAAAAAAAAAACAACAAATAAGCTAAAATTCCTAAGGAAATCATTTTCTCTACTGACAATTTAACTCGAATCATTCAATTTGGTGGATATGGAGGGTCCACCTAGGGGAGTTGGAAAATCATGATTCCAAACCAATGGTACGCATGGGCTTCAGGATCCTGAAGGAACAAATGGTGTATGAACCAATTATTGGTCACCGGCTACCATGGGATTGTAGTTCCTTACGTTGCTTCACTGCCTTGTGGATCAGACCTTTAGGTCGAAGGCTCTGGGCTTGGCCCCCTAAGAAAACCACCTGCTTTGGTTTGAGTACCCGGACAGTATCCCAGCCCACACACAAATCAAGTGACTTATGCGTCGTATATGTATTCGGTGCCCTTTTGTACCAGTATTCATGTGTTCAAATAAATGAATAAATTCATAGGTTGAAATTTCTGCAGATTTATTCTGTTTGAATTTCTGTATTTTTTTTTATCTAAATTTCACTAATTCAACAATCTGTCTCAATAGTTGAGATCATGAGTCAATTGAAGCCAGACAACCATGGAAAACCTGGAAGCACTGGATGGTCGTTTCGTCCTATTGTGGGACTCCTCAGTAGTACGCATCCATCACCCCACCTCGCGGGATTCAAACCCAGGGCCTATCAGTCTCGCGCGTGAGGCTGTTAAATTTTTTCGACTGAAAAACAACAGTACTAAATTCAAAATGCTAGTCTTTTTCCGGAGATAACTTACTGCTGATTAACTGGCTATGAACAAGTGATCTCACATCATACTGTAAAGTTGTCACAGTATGTAATAACAATCAATATGATTGTCTGTCGAATTAATAATAATTGTTTATTTATACACAATTTCAAGATGATAAAGCTGAAATCGTTAGTTCACTTGTATGATTCAATGGAATACTCGACATCGTCAAGTCTTCCAGGTAATATGCAATGCCTTATTGTACTTCTTTGATGGAGTCGTGGTAGCGTAAGTTCAGGATTATAAAACAATATGAATTATTCTTTCTGATGAAATTCATATAAATTGTATTCATAAAAAATCACTCATATGAAACTGATCATATTTTGATTGTTGATTCATAATACTTGCTTCGTCATTTTTGGAACTTGCCCACTGTATATACTTTGATTTATATGTTAGTGTTCACATTTTGGGTTAAACACAATATTTATTGCTTCAACCAACAAAAGGGGGTAATAAGTCATGATAATCAT